TTATTTGGCGGCTAGATTTTCACTCAAGGCAGGCATGAAACCTCACGAGCTTGTCTTCTAAGATGGGATCAATTAAGCCCTACGGTTGCTTGCTTTTCCTAGCTGTTTGAAGTTGTTTTAGCTGATGTACCCTTTTAATTTCATTGTCAATGGACAACTAAATTTTGTCATTAGGTGGAGCGTTGTTCAAGTTTATCTTCTCTTTATGACTGACAATTGACGTATATTATATATACCTACATGTGAGGTTTCTTTTGACGGGCACTTTATATGGTTTTTCTGAGCTTTGTGGATTGTATTGAAATGGTCATGAACCTTCTCTTTAGGTATCCCTGGTTTGGTGACTTCAGTTCAGTCCAATCTCCCTGGAAGGTAGGTCAAAATTTTCCTTTTCTGGGGTAAAATGTAAATTCTTATTCCCAATAACAAGCATGCCAAGCAGCACCAACAATAAGGGCTGCCAGGTAAGTTCTATACAGAAGAATGAACAGATAATCAATAGATAGAAGTTTGAATTACAGCTTTGATCCCCTACCGTAGAGATGGTGGAAATGTTTTTGGCCCTGCAAAACTCAACTCAAAACATCAGCAATAATCAAATGTACAATCTCAGATTTAGGACGAAACAACGGTTGATATATATAATCTCAGATTTAGGATGAAACAATGACAGATAAATACGCCTATTGCGTTCAAACCAGATATGGCACCAGTGTGATAAGGGAATTGTGAAGAGCCTTCCTCTTGGTTGTACGGTTGGAAGCTGGGTCAAATTTAGATACAAGAGAATGAAGAATTTGCTGTAAATAAATTCAGAAATTACATTAACATTACGGTTGCAGATACAGCAATCTTTGATTATTTTGACATTTTCATGAAAATAAAAAAAGAAAAATTCAAGCAAGGCATTTATATTTATCTATTTATTTATTTATTACAGCACAGCCTATGGTAAATTTTATCTCAGAGCAAACTGTCTGTTCGAGCTGGCAGTCTCTTGAAGAAGTTGCTAGGCACTGAAGGTAGCTTGCTTCTGAACCTGGGGTGCCTCAGGTAATACAGACCAGCTATAAGAGCCACCGCTCTAAAAGGAGTTGCATATAGCACCACGGCTGCACAAAGACAAAATACAATAAAAAGGCTGGTTGCTCTTGGATCTCTCCAGCTCAACAGAGACTGAAACCTCTCCCCTTGTGTTGCAATGTCCCCCACAACCGTCTGAATCCTCGCTGCAACACTTCTCAGCCTATCATACCTCATTCGAACAGTGTCATGGGGTTTAGAAGTTGGAAAGGTGTCGAATTCTTCATCAAGCTCATCCGGACTTACAGCCTCTGCCCACGAAACCTTTGTATCCATATGAGGCGGGAGCCTTGGCCGGACTCTATAGTTCCATATTCCAATGAGGAACATGTAGAGAAAAAGAGTCGGAAGAATCAACTCTGGACACCATATCAGGATCAAGAAGAGGATATGAACAAGAACAGATGTAACGGGGTTCTTCCAGTTGCAAACATCCCCAAACCATCCCCCAACAGAAATCATACCCGAGGCAAGCGACATGATCCTGAAGAAATTAGCTTTACTTCTTCTCATGCTCCACACGTGGCAATCCACATCTAACATGTACTCCACCACTTCTTTTCTCAGTGGTGGTTCTGCTCGGCCAAGCCTCACGGCCACAATATTCATGGCCTGATACCTCAAGTTTTCTACCTGGTTAACTGTGAATGGATGCAAGTAATGCATTTTGGGCAGCAATGGATGCCCATAAATGTATATCATGTTTGCTATAGATAGAGTTGTGAATCGAACGGCAAGCTGAAGCTCACCCATCTTCTTCACCCCGTGTGGGTTTAGAACAAGAAGCGGATAAGAATGCGTATAAATCCGGTGAGCTTCAAGGGTTGATAACCGGATTCGTACCTTTCCTATTCGTGAATCTCGTGCAACACCACTGCCGCTTGTTTTATCACCACCGCCACCACCTCTGCCTCCGGCTCCTCCCAAGTGGCAATTGTCGAAGACTCCCAGTGTGATGACGGTGCAGGGATCGTAGACCTCCCATGTGTATTGCTCGTTCCATGTGGGACTAAAAGTGTCAAGAATTGTTCTAGTGCGGACCCATTTTTGGCCGTACTTTGCCACGCAATAGGCATCCGTACTCCCTCGCCCATCCTTCATCTTCATTGGCAGCAGCCCCTGTGCACCCAAAATACCGACTTCAAGTATCCCAACTGGCTGTTTCCAGAGTTGCCTCGCGGTTGGCCTTTGATCACTGATGTACATGGTTGACTCATCCAGCACATGGTATCCGCCTTCTAGACAGACTCTTAGGTGAACCCTACTTGAAAACTTGAGCTCTTTTCTCCTGTCAGCCTCCAGGATTCCAAAACCATACTTCTCCAGATTGAACCACCGCGAGTGTACTGGCCTGTGGTCTAGTCGCTTGTCAAAATCCGTCAGCAGCAGGCTTATCTTCCCTAACACCTCCTCTTTTGAAGGATGCACTCGATCCTCCACAGCGATGACCAGCTGTTCTTCAAAAGGCTCAGCCACTACAAACACTAAATCTTCATTCCAGAGGGGATTGGTAGTTCGAACTGGACATATCTTGGTTCTCAACACTTGGTTTCCTACCTGAGCTTTTACAAAAACTTCAGGCAACCGGCTTCTGTCGCTTGGCACTACATCTTGTGCTTCAATCACATTTACCCTGAGGTACCATAGTTTTGGGGACACGTAAACCTTTGATCGGACGCTGGAGACACCCTCTCCGTAGACTGAGGCTGCATCTGAATGCCACGCATCTGGGAATGCTTCGTCAGCTTGTGTTCCCATCCAGACTGCAAGCATGATTTCTCCCCTCACTTTCCCTTCTCCTCTCCGGTCCTCTAATCTGCACCACTGCGGTGCCAAGGGACTGTCCGGTGGAACTCTGGTGGGAATTTCATTCAAATCAAAAACTACCCTTCCAAGATAATCATCTCTCCCTACCATTTCCTTGTCTTTAACAAGAACTTCCACCACTGATGACTGAATTCTGTCCTTGGAGAAAGCAAAGACCTGATTCCACTCAGGATTCATTTTCTTCTCAAAATGCTTTGTTCTGCCCTTGTAGTTTCCAAGCTTTACTTCCACATAAGGATCACAGCTGCCAGTGATGGAACTGGGCGCAAGATTTTTCGCTTTCACCACTCGAACATATAGATAGAACATCTGTTCTACAAGATCATAAGTGCTCGCAAATCTCTCCCCACTCATCCATCCTCTTCCCCCATATACTCCTCCACTAGGCCATCTTTCACCGAGCTGGGGATTGGTATCCTTCAGATTGTAGTCTTCTGGCTCAGCAGGATGACCCTGTGGGGTGACAGAATGCATTGTGAATGGCACACCTTCTGCTCTTTTCTCAAAGAATATTCCGGGTTGCTGCAGAACTTGGTGCTTGTTTATGTGTTCAGCTGTCTCTACTTTGGAAGGCACCTTGATCTTCTTCAGCTCTCTGACTGGAGACTTAGACTTTTTGATGGCATCAACAGCTGAGACTTCTTTTTCAGACCCTCCTGCTATAACTTGAGCTAATGGTCGGGAAATGGTGTTATCTGAAACAGAAGTTACAGCACTTGAGAGAGAAGCAGGAGATGGACTAGAAGTTGGAGAAGATAATGGTTGTGCCGGCAAGGGAGGAGGAGGAGGAGATTTTGTTTCAGATTCTGGTGAAATATAGACTTTGAGGCCAATCTCACCCTTGACAGGAGAGAAAAACCACTTGCTTTCTAACTGGAAGCGTTGATAGACTTCCTCACCTTTCCTGACAATGTTTGAGCAAGGAATTCTTACTCTACCAAGGAAATTTCGGCCAGGGATTGGTCTCCTCTCGTTGTAAACAGAGACTTGTATGAATTTATGGGTGCAGTTCTGGGGTTGATCAAAATGAAAGACAAGTTTCTGGTTCCAAACAGGGTTGAGGTTTTTTGGAACGGTTCTAGTTTTGCTTAGTTGGTTTTGGAAATCAACTTCTACAAATGGACTGGCGGAGCCTTGACCATCCTTGGGCATAAGATCATGAGCATCCACCACTTCAACAACCAGCTTCATGCTCCTTTTAGTTTGCTGCGCCCCACACGAAAACTTATACTGGATTCGGAAGCAAAGAAGTCCAGGTGGAGAAGGCAGCAGAAGATAAAAAGAAAGAAATAAATTAGTTAAGGTTCTCTCATACTTGCTCACACAGTACTACTACCTGGTATTGTCTTGTTCAAGAAAGGAATGCTTTGAAGGAGAAGCAGCCTGATATTAGATAGAACCAAATGGAGGGAAAGTATAAACTTTATTTAAAGTGCAAAAGGGTGGTCATTTAGTTGGTCAGAATCCTAAATTGTATTCTGAAAATTAAGCAATATTCATTTAGTTAATGGGATAAAAAAAAAAAAAAAGAGGTAAAGGAAATGGAAATCTAGTGAAAGGACATTCTTTTCTTCCGTAGGAGGCAATGGCAATGGCAATGCGATTAAAAAAGCTAGTGAGTAGTGAAGAAACAGCTGGAGCCTTAGGGAAACAGAACTGAAATCTCCTTCCCCCTTCCCTCTGCCCAAGAATATGCTTGTATGGTTTAACCAAGTAAAGACGCCTTTACATGATCTTTATTCTTTTCTTAATCAAATCAAATCCATTCTAAACTTAAAACACATAGAAAAGAAAAAAAAAAAATAAAAAAATTAGTTTGCAGTCACGTTTTCTGGAATTTTCCTTTAGTGTTTCACTTTCGCATGGGGGCCTCTAGTCTGATTTTCAGCACCAAAACTAGCTAGGTGGTTTTGTGCTCCACTATAGCTCCAATCATCCATATAAATCTATCATCTTTTGCCGAATCAATCAATGTGTTTATTTAGTTAGTAAGTGTTATAATAATAATAATAATAATAATAATAATCATAATCATAATAATAATAATCATAATACACAAGGAGGGGGAGTAATTGTTTTGAGACAAAATGAGACTAGAGATGAATGGAGACAAAATGAGACTAGAGATGAATGGATTATGGATATGAAATTAAAGGGTTTGCCTTTTTCCCAGTTTCACAGTTGAGGTTCAGAGGCAGGCATTTTTGTAGTGTTAATAAGTGCTTCTGAAATCGTAGAGTTTCTCCCTCCCACTTTTGGAGCTGAGCCTTTTGCCCATTTTTCTCAATCCGGTCTCTTTTAAGTCCAATGGACCTAAGCCCACATCTGTTCAAAGTAAGTAAGAACCCAGGCCCACTTTCGTGGGCTACCCTCATTCCTCCCTGGAGTTGGAGGGCTTAGTTTGTATTTAGTAAAAACAAGAGTGGCTCAAGTGACCCTTCTTACATCACCGTTACTACAGTTGCGAGGAGTTTAGTTAGGAGACAGGACGTCGGAAGTTCGAACTTTACCACTCTCCAACTAACCTGATTAAGTTTAATTTAATAATGATAATAATAATAATTATTATTAAATTATTAAATCCAATATTATTACTACTACTTCACCATTTTTTCTCTCCTCTACTAGAATCTTTCTTCCACTCCTCCATTCTCTTCACTATTTCAATTCCGATTCCAATTGTAGGGTTGGGTTTTGTTGGGGTTTATCAAGCTCAAACAGAATCCGGGATTCAGGAGAGGAAGACGACGACACGACAGAATAGATGGTTGGGTCTAATGGGGTTAAGCTCTTCCAATGCTTAATTCGCCGCTCTCTTTCTTCATCTTCCAATCTTCATGGACCCAATTCTGTAATCCCTTGTCTTCAATTTTGTTTCTTTTTCGTTTTTTAAGTTGTGGGATTTATTTATTTATTGCCTGGGTTTATGATTTTGGACGTTGGTGGTAGATTTACTATAAAGCTTGGATTAGAGGCAGGAGGTTCCATGCGGGCGGCCTTTGCAGTCCACTTAGGATTATTGGAATTGATTCTCCTCAAAATGGTATTTTATAATTTATATATAACTTTTGCAAATCTCTCTCTGTTTTCTGAACTCAACGATAACAATCAATAGGAAACAAAACAAAAGGTTCTATCTTTCCTACTCTGACTTATCTGTGTTTTGGAAAAATATCAATTTTTATACTATGAAATCATACACATTCTGTGTGTTAATTGACTCTATTTCTTTTCCACTTTCGTTCTCCTACAACCACTGAATTAAACTTGTTTATGTGTTAATTAATTATTTTGCTTTGAACACTGCAGTTCACCGCAGAAATTTGTGGGCTAATCTGGGCGCAGCCCGGTCAATTCATGGCACTGGTATTCAAACTTTGAACATGGTTTCCTCTCTTTTTCTCTCCTTTTCTTTTTTTTTTTTAATTCCTTTCTCGTTTGTTTTTTTGGCATCCTTAATTATAATTACAATGATATTGATGGGGCAACTCTCTTTGCAGCTCACATGTCTGCTAGGGATTATTATGATATACTTGGTCTGAACAAGAGTGCCACTGCATCTGAAATCAAGAAAGCTTATTTAGGGGTGAGTGTTCTTTTACCATATGCCTGTCTTTTTACTGTCAGTCCATGTAGTTTTGATCGTTTGGTCTACGATCCCTGTTTCATGGAAATGCAATCCTGCAGCTTGCAAAGAAGTGGCATCCGGATATGAATAAAGATGATCCTGAAGCTGCGAAAAAATTTCAACAAGTTCAAAAGGCATATGAAGTAAGTTTTCATGTTGGATTATTGCCCATTCCGTTAAATACTCATGTGAAGAAATCTTTATTGTCTTCTGTTTGTACTTTGTAGGTTTTAAGGGATGAGAACAAGCGTGCAGAGTATGATCAGGTGTCATGTTTTTTTTTCTTTATTTTGTTTTCTGTGACTACTTGAAGAGTTGCAAATCTTCTGCTGTGATAATTTTGTGTGCATAATGCTCTATTGATTTAGATTATCTGATTTTTTAAGTTGATTTTGATTCCATCTTGGCTGATTTATTTATTTATTTTTTACAAAATTTATAGGTTGGCCATGAGGCATTTGAACAACAACAGGATAATTCAGGCTTTCACCCGGGTGGCTTTAGTCCATTTGAGGATATCTTCAAAATGCATGATGTAATGATTCCATGCTGAGCTCTTATTTTCCCACTTTTTTATTTTTTCCAAAACATTTTTCTGTTCTGCTTTTTGAAATTTTGGATGTCATGATTTCATAGCTGGTTGTTTCTTAATGCTTCTACTGCACCATCATTTGACATGAGGTATCCTTCTTCTTGTTTGCATTGAGCATTGCGCTTAGTGTTCCTTGTATGCAAGTACAGTCAGCTGTGCCTGTATTTTGATTCTGCACTCCTATGCTTGTTTTTAAAAGTTAATTTGAAATCTAACGTGACATACTAATTTTTCCGTTGTCTCACCTTTATGATGATCAGATATTCAATATATTCAGGGGTGATAGGATTGGTGGTGAAGACATCAAGGTTTCTATTACTATCCTTTTCCCCTTTTCTTTCGCTCTTACTGATATTTCTGCATAACTTTGATTCCCCACATGTTATATGGATTGCCATGTGAAGGTTGCCATTGAAATATCATTCATGGAAGCTGTTCACGGGTGCACCAAAACTGTGTCATTTCAAGCCCCAGTGCTGTGTGAGGCTTGTGGTATGCCTCTTCTCACCACCAACAAAATGTTTTCCTTTTACTTGCCTTTATTAGTGGAATTCTTTCTGCTTTCTTTTTTTTTTTTTCTTTTCCCTTTGAATTGCTCGAGATTTCTTAAGTAGATATTAACATAGACATGTGGCATGTGAAAGTATGATTCCAGCTTAATCTCCACTGTTTCTACATTCTTTCAGGAGGAGAAGGTGTTCCTCCAGGAGTTAAACCTGAAAAATGTCGGCGGTGTGGAGGCACAGGCATGGTTAGTTCACTGGAATAGCATGCGTAGACATGCATGCATTTTTGTTCTCCACTGAAAAAATTCCTTGAGCATCCATGTGACATGGTATGCCGTTTCATTAATGAATGGTTTTTGCTGTTGTACCAGGCATCCATGAGCAAAGGTATTTTTAGTATTCAGACTACCTGTCCTCAGTGCCGTGGAACTGGTCAGTTTATATCGGTATGTACACATATCATCATCTGATTCTATTGTTCTTCAGTCCTATCACGTGTTATGGTGCATTTATTATGCTGAGATAAAAATAAATAAAACTTTAGATATATTAAAAAGGGAAACAGAAAAAAAGGATGGATAACTGCTTTCCATACCACTAGATTTCTATTGTTAATGTGTTATCTAGTGAGCCACACTTCTATCACAAGGAACTGATGTTATAATCCTACTGGTTTTAATTTCGTTCAATTTATTTTTCTTAGAATTTTAATATAAGTTTTTTAACTTCATTATTGGCATTAGAGGTTCTGCAAGTCATGCGATGGAGCCCGGGTAGTGAAAGGATCAAAATCAGTCAAATTGGATATAATTCCAGGTACTTTTCAAGCTTTAAGGACTTTTTCCAATGGAAAAATTTGAGGTCTATCTCAATGGTTGCTTTGCCTTTTTATCCTTTTCCCCATTCTCTGCAACAATTCATTCTAACTTCCCTACTTTTTGTGGAAGCATAATATCTACCATTTATACCCTTGACATTTGAGTGTGGTATTCTGAATTGGTTCTGCAGTGTTAGGCTTCTTGTATGAATAATACATTTTCTGATTTAGATGAATAGATGGCAATGCTTGTTCTTTTGTAATATGTTAGAAGTTCCTATTTTAAACTGAACTTGCAGCTTGAAGCTTTTATAGTGTTTCCTACACTACATACTACCATACTAGTGAAGAAAGAAAGAGGTCAGCTTAATAGGATATGGTCCCACAGCAGCTGATGTTGATCTCAACCATCCAATCTTCATGATCTTTCCATCTTGTTCATTGAATATCCTTTTTCCTAGTTCAAAGGAATTTTGCTATCCTAGGATTTGTTTTTATTATCATGATTGACAACCAAGTTCTTTGCCATCTACAGGGTTGGGTGATAACGAAACTCTGAAGATTTATGGAAGTGGGGGAGCTGATCCTGATGGAAATCAACCTGGGGATCTCTATGTTACCGTTAAGGTTAGTTGTTTAAGCTCCTTTTTTATCTTTCTAACTTTCTAAGACAAATGGATGTCAAAGCATGTCTTGTATTGTAATATGAGATTTATGTGTAAGAAACAGAACAAAATAATCAAAAACTTCCTTCATAATCGAACAAATTATGGATTATCAAACTTAAAGAGTACCTAATGAACCCTAACTGAAGTTGCACGTGCATGATCCCAGCAATGGGCCCACCATCAACAACTTTTTATCTGTGTTTTGTATATATCTTAAAATCTTCGCTTATGTTTTCAGGTACGACAAGACCCTGTTTTCCGAAGGGAAGGTTCCAACATTCATGTTGATGCTGTTTTGAGTGTAACTCAGGTAAAGTATATGGTATACTTTAATGTGGTTAAAATTCAAGAAGAAAAGTACTTAGATGCATGGAGGTCCCAAGCTGTGTGTTTATAATAGAAAATTTATTGTTGTAGATTTTTTGATGGCTAAGATGTTCTTGCTGGTGATTTTTTTTGCTATTTATCAAATGAAGAAATACTTTTATTCATCTTAGGGTGTAAATCTTGTCGTTTGCTTAATTGTGCACTTCATAGTTGTCTTCTTTTAGAGTAATATTTATCCATTTATCTGGTTTACTGGAGTTAATTGGGTTTGATCTTCTTCAGGCAATCTTGGGAGGAACTGTTCAGGTCCCAACGCTTACTGGTGATGTTGTGTTAAAGGTTTGTTTAACATTTTGTGCAACTAAGAAAATTGTGAGAAAGTGACTCTGTTTCTTGTGGCGATATTTTGTTTATCTATATAATGGATTTGTTTCTATTTGCAGGTCCACGCAGGTACCCAACCTGGTCAGAAGGTAGTTCTGAAGGGTAAAGGTGTGGAATGAATCACTGCTGTATTATTATTATTTCTTTCCTTCTCCTTTTTCTTCTTGTTTTTATATCCGAATGCTTGTTAGGAAGTGTTCTATTAGTTTGTTTTCTTTGGAGAAAGCATATATCTTTAGTTTACCAACACAGAATCATGTGCTGTGTTTTCTGGCAGGGATTAAATCAAGAAATTCTTACTCATTTGGAGATCAGTATGTGCACTTCAATGTCAGCATTCCAACGTAAGTATTCTAAAGGGTCTATATTTTCTATTATTATGGTTCTCATGTGCTCTGAGATCATT